AATAACATGATTTGGAGTAGTTAAAATTTATTAACTAAATGATATATGATACCGACAAAGTATAATATGAGATTAGCTAACAAAATAAATCATATGTATCATGATATACAAAATGAAGTACCAAATATAAGTCAAGATTTTAGCAAACACGCTAGCTCGAGTTCGAGCCGAGCTCAAGTTGGGGTAAAACTCGACTCGACTAGATATACGTTGATGAGGTTCTTACCTTACCAAACTCCATTAGATAATGTTTTTATGTTTGTTATGTTCAAGAGTGACATGCTACTTGCTAGATATACGTTGATGATCTTATCAATAAGTAATTTGTAGCAGAGTTTATAAGTAGAAGGGAATGTATGTGGAGTGATGGTGTCCATTGGCTGCTATGTCGATGTTCTTTCAAATTTTACATGTTTTCAATGACATTTGTTTGTTTTCTTAGGGTGGATTTTGACCTAATTGAATCCCTAATTAAATTTTTTTTTATTTTGGCCTTTGTTTCTTACCAAATAATGATCAATTGATGCATCAAACTCAGTTCATGAATTAGGACTGTGCAAGATAGAATGTATTGAGTTGTATTGTAGTTTGCAACTTTCATTATATGTCTCTATGGTTATCAGGTAATGCAACCCTGGGGGGTTGGATTTTTACCAAAGTACACAACAACACAATCAATCCAAGGATCGGATTGATTAAAACGAAATTCGAACAAAAAAAAGGATGTTCTTGGGTGTTTGGATAAAACGGAATCAAACGTGCAATCTTTCACGTGGAAGAAGGCTCGAATGATATAAAGATAGATGCTCGGCCACGATCATTGCGTTCATGATCAAGACAAGAGCTCAACGAGCTTGAAATCCACCAAAGATCACACAAGTACGCAAACTTGCAAAAACCCAAAGGTTTCGATTTCTGGGTTCTGAGGGAATGCTCCAGCACCGTTGGCGAGTACCGAATCTTCGCGGGAATTCCAACCAAATCGTCCTCTCTCCTCTTCTGTTTGCTCGAGGAAAAACAGAGGCATCGACCGATGGCGCAGTTTGCTTCAAGGACCTCGCAGCGTGACAGCTCCGATTCCGGTGAATCATCCAGGCTTGCTTCTTCTTCATTGACGATCAATTCCGAGACATATTTCGATGGTTTCTGGACGTCCCAACGATTCTTTGGCTGAAACAAATCGACACCCTGTTTTTGCGGGTTAAAACTGAGATGTCTATCGATGGCAGCATCCAAACTCCGAATAACGTCTCGCCTGAGCTTCCCAAATTCAGCACAGAGCATTGCATCAAACCGGGCCATAAAATCCTCCACGCCAATATGCTCCATCTCGAAGCTTCGAATTGAAATTCTCAAAACTTCAAAACCAAAACAGAATTGTTCCTCTGTTTCCGAAGACATCTGAATTCGTACGAAACAACACGTTCTTCTTCTTATTGGCCCTCAAAGTACACAGCAACACAATCAATCCAAGGATCGGATTGATTAAAACAAAATTTGAACCAAAAACAAGGATGTTCTTGGGTGTTTGGATAAAACGGAATCAAACGTGCAATCTTTCACGTGGAAGAAGGCTCGAATGATATAAAGGTAGATGCCCGACCATGATCAACGCGTTCTTGATCGATACAAGAGCTCAACGAGCTTGGAATCCACCAAAACTCACACAAGTACGCAAACTTGCAAAAACCCAAAGGTTTCGATTTCTATCCAACAAAGTCTGAATTTTTACAACGAAATAGAACGATATTTAAAGGCAGATAAAACCTAATACAATCATATTAGAACTAGGAAACAATTAATGTAAAATTATACACTAAAAAGGACACAAAATTTGGGTTTAAACTTGCTTTCTTCAAGCGCAAGTAAGCTGCCAGCAACAGTCCAAAAGTAGCTTTCGTACTAACTTTACGCCTTTGTTCGAGGCCTTCCCGAACTCCAAAACTTCATCCAATTCCTTCCCTTTGTTCACAAACATACCTAGTTTCATTTTTTAGGAAGTCTTTTGACTTGGATCCCATCCATGCTCCTTGAATTGAGCTCCAAAGTAGGCTTCACAAAACAGTTTTCTTCCTTAGCCATTTTCTGGCAGTTTTCCAGTTTTGATGTAGCAACTTTGAGGCATTGGAAAAACAACCTTAATGATATCTTCTGGATACACAAAGCATACCATTGGAAAGACGAAAACTTTATTTGCAAAACAAACCCTTAAAATTGAATTTCCACCAAGCCAATTGAGAGAACCATGCCTCCAAAGTATGTACCCTAAACACGAATTTTGACTTAGCCAAATTATGCCCTTCTTCCCAACTTCGTTAGCTTCTTCGTCAAGTAAATTAAACGTGTATAATGGACTATTTGGGATCATATCTTTAGGGGGGAAAAGCAACATTCCAAATCCAAGGGGATATGTAGTTCTCTACTAAATATAAATTATATTTATATGTGATTTACTTTGCATAATATTATTTTAATAAATTAGTGACGGCTGATATTTTTATATGTGGTTTGTTTCTCTATAGCATTTCAAAATTACATTAAATGAGTAAGTGGAGTATTGATGATGTCGATGATAATGTGGTTCCTTGCTCTCTCAAAATTGCACAAACAACAAATATTGCAAAATAATAGTGAGATTTAGGTAATAATTTTTTCGATTATCATGTGCCAGCAGATCAGAAGGGAGAGAAATTAGTTATAAATTAGTTATTCACTTATTTTTTTATAAATTATTTGCTTAATTTAACATCTTCATTTGTTGTCTTTAAATATTTGAACTTCTTTATCACTTTTGCGAGCTAAAAACTAATCTCTTATTTTATATATCGTCGTTTCCGATAAAATCAACACGTGATCTAATTTTTCAATTTTTTGTTATTTTGACATCCAATACTTAAATAGCGGGTTCGATACAAAATTAAAATAAATAAATAAATAAAGGTATATAGAGAAATAAAATTAACTTTTTCATAATAAATAAAAAATACAAAACTGTGAAACAATAGCTGAAACAAGACAAGTGGGATTAACAATTTAATATATTATAGTATAATATTTATGAACGATTAAAAAATTTAAATATTATAAGGTAAAATAAATAAGAAAATCAAACAAAATAGCCCGCCCAATGGGGCGGGTAAAAAAACTTGTACGGAATATAAAAAAACTCCCATTGTTTAGATAATGAAGATAAATACTCTTTTTTTTGTCAAAAGATATCATATATTGATAAAAAAAAATAGACAGTTACATCCTGAAAACCAACCAGGCCCGAAAATCAAAGAAGCGACTCATAGTTGGATACAAGGAAAGGGCTTTTCTAGCTACCGAATGAGCTACCCTATTGTTCTCCCGGCCTACAAAACGCACACTAAAACCAGGCTGGATACGTAAAAAATGACCTATCTCTTCTAAGACAGCACCCAGCTGGTTGTTTCTTGTGTCGGCTTGATTAATTTTGTCAATAATCACCTTCTCGTCCCCCTCAAACTGGACCTCCGATAAGCCGCACTCCACGCACCAAATCATTTCCTCCCTAAGCACAAGCAATTCCACCACAGCAGGCTCATCCAACTGCGAAAACTGAATCCCCCTTGCCAGAAGGAGCGTCCGCGCTGGGTCAAGTACTACCATCACACCCGCCGAATGCGACCCACCCTTAGTAGCCCCATCCCACATGCAAACCAACCGGGGATCCCCCACTGGAGTAATTGGTTGAATCGACGGAGTCATCCCCTTAGGAGCCTGATCCACAGCCAAGCTCACCCATTCCTCATATTGTTGGTTGAATTGGGGCATGAGCGTCGGGATCCCAAACTGTTTGCCTTCAAAGACAACCGAATTATGAGACCACCAGATCCGCCAAAGGATGACAACAACCGCCGTCACCAAGGCCAGCTGATGGATCAGCGCCAACAGACATTTGAGAAATAATGGAAAAGTGTGTCGAGGCAAACCCTCCCCCAAGTAATCCAGCCATGAATAATCCCAGAGAGCACGGCGCAACCGGGCAATAAAGGAACAGGTGTTCCATCGTCTCCGGGCCATCCCAACAAACTGGACACCTAGGCAGCACGGGAACCTTTTTCTCAATAAGCGCCTCCGTAGTCGGAAGAGCTCGATTAAGAATTTGCCAGACAAATACCTTCAGCTTCGGGGGGATCTTAGCCTCCCACACTCTAATCCAACTCGGCTTATCCATCCAACTAGTCGAGGATCGCCACCCACCCCTTGTCCTGTCTAGCTCCACAGCCAAATGGTAGGCCGACTTTACCGAGAAAATCCCGTCCGCCGTGCAATGCCAGATAAGCTTATCAGACACATTTTGACGTGGGTCAAACCATTGACTGAGCTTCTCATCAGACCACTGTCCTTCCCCTTCACAAATCACCTCCGCCACCAAGGGATCACCCCCCTCAGGCAAGATCCACGGATTATAACAGGGGGGATCAAATTGGTACTCTGGAATTCAGTTAGAATGGAAGAGAGAGGCCGATTGGCCATTACCAACCTGCCATCTTAAACCCATCCCCAATAAATGTCGTCCGTGCAGGATACTCTGCCACCCCCAAGAAGGACGAGACCTAGCCGTCGCCGTAAGGAATGACCCTTGAGGGAAATACTTTCCTTTATAAATCTTAGCGAGGAGGGACTAAGGCTCGTTTAAGATAAATACGATTAAACTCAAATCAAAATATTATTATTACTCCATCCAAACCGAAACGTAACCCAAATAAATTATTAGCCATTACTACTTAACCTGCTAACAAATTAAACCAGGCCCTAAGTTAATTACTTCCAATAAAAGTGTATATAAGAAGCATTCACCGTATCTATTTTTCATTCTTGTTTGAGACTCTGTTTTCTCATTTCCTCAGTTTTTGTTCTTCTATCTATTGTCCCTGTATACAGATCTTCTTATTTCTTTCATGCCACTAGGGTAGCTAGATAAGGTTGACCATGAACTCATCAACAGAACCTTTTCATGATATATTATTCAGTCAATCAAATCCCCTGCAAGGCCTCCATTGATAAAAAAAAACTTTAACGACCACCGCCGCCGCCGCCACTCCACCGCCATCTTTCTCATCCTGATCATCCCCAAGTGCAACAACAATGTTCGTGATACCTTCTTCACTCAGCCTCGTCGTCATGTACATCGGCTTCCCAATCACGCTGGCGATGTAGCTCAGGCCTTGAGCGTTCATGTACTCGACGGGCACCCCGACCAGCCTCACCCGCACGGCCGGAATCGTCGACGAGCGCGGCTCAGTATGGTCGCTTTCGTTGCTAGCGCGGCAGGTTTTCTGTTCATCGACACAATCATAGTTGATTATATAATGTATATAGTTGATTATATAGATGGCGGCGTGATTGATTACTTACAGAAGACAGAGGAGAAGTAGTAGTATCGTCGCCTGCAAACTGTTCCGGCCGAAATGGCGGGACGAAGTGGCCACGATCAATATTCTCACTGGCCGGCGGCGGCGGGCGCGTAGGTTGTCCAGTCGTATCGTCATGCTGTAATAATTTCCCTCCAACATTATCGGTCCCACAAAACCCAACAGTAGCATCGCTCGTGACGGACGAGGACGCCGGGCCCAGCTCGTGCACCTTCGACGCCATGTTCTCCGCGATTCTCTCCACCATTACTGCTTCCGATCTTCACAACAACAAAAAAAAAAAAAAAAAAAAGTGAACAAAATAAAGTAAAATGGAGGAAATGATCATCAGCCGTCAAACAACTAAGGCCCTGTTTTGGTATCCATTCTCGTCCCTGTTGTGTTTCTGTTTCCATTCCAAAGTTGCTGCAACCTGCAACCCGCGCAAGTGTTTTTTTCGGATAAAAAAAAAACTAGAAGAAGTTTACCGGTCACTGGGGAGAACCCATCCGGCAATATCGGCAATGTCTGTGAGCGCGTGGCTCCAGCTGTCCACCCTCTCGTAGCTATATACCCTTTTGTGACGGTCAAAGTCGTCCTTGTAACACCCCGACCACATATGATCGACGACGTCGTCGGGTGTCAATCTGTAGAACACCGGGAAAGCCTGGTGCCCCTTCTCCTTGACGGTCTGCATGATCTTGACCAGCTCGTCCAAGCAGTACTCCGACGAGGCGTAGCCTCTGGACAGCACGACGACGGAGAGCTTGGACTCCTCGATGGCGCGCGGGATGGCCTCGGCGACGCTCTGGCCGCGAGGGAGGTCACTGTCGTCGCGGAATGCTTTGATGCCTTTGCGGACGAGGGCGTAGTAGAGGTGGTCGGCGAAGGTGTGGCGGACGTCGGGCCCCCGGAAGTTGAGGAACACGTGGTGGCGCCAGGGCGTTGTTATTAAGGGAACTGCCGCGGCACGGCCGGGGTTGTTATAATTGAGGGAACTGCCGCAATGTCTAAACCCGTGGGTTGTGACGGGATCGAAGACGAGGAATAGTAGCAGTACTGGAGGGATAGCCATCAGGCCGGACTCAAGAGGGAGGGTCTAATAATTTTGGACTGTGGAGTGTAGTACTGGAGGCGGAGGGGGGGTGCATTATTATATAGAGGCTCTACAGACTACAGTTCCCTACTGATAGCCTTTCCTTTGGCTTTCTGCTTATCAGTTTTCTGGAAAGCGAGATACCTTTGGCATGTTCATTATACACAAAATTGTACTATACGTAATGAAGAATGTATGTAGGGATGGTAACGGATCGAGTCGGTTAAGGTTGGGCACGTAGATGAATATGTTAAAAAATTCATGCATGGGTTTAAAAATCCCAAGCAGCGGTTACCTTGAAGTAGGGATGGTCGGACTGTTACCGGTTAGCAGTTAACCGTCGATTTCAACCAAAACCGAACTTTTTCGGCTAACCGGTAACCGTTCCTAATTACACGGCAGTCTATTGACGGATGGGCTGGGGAGAGGGTCAGCTAACCGGCTAACCAACCCTCTCCCCAGCACATCCAAAACAACCCGCCCTCCCCCCTAAACCGACTCCCCAGCCCATCCAAAACGACCCACCCTAACCCCAATTTCGGTCCCCTGCATCTCTCCCCTCTTGTCTCGCCTCACCACCCCGACAGCAGCGGTCCAGAACAGAGAAGAAATCTAGTTCCTCGCATGCCTCGCATGCTATCGGCTTGTCGATCAACCGCGACATTGTCGGCGCCTCACGCCCTCGCTTGCTGTCGGCGCCCTCGCCAATTCGCCGCAACCACGTCCCTTTGGCGCGCCATCACCCTGTCAGACTCACCGGCTCGCCTTCTATTGGCGACCACGCCCCCTCTGACTCTCCGGCTTCGCGACCAGCCACCCACGAAGTCGTCGGCCATTACAGACTCGCCGGCCCCTTGAAATTTGAAAATTGAGAGAATTCTTGCACACTCTTCTGTTTCAATTATTTCCGTTTTATGCTCAAGTTATTGATCTTCATTAGTGTTTATGTTGTGGAAAAAAGCTTCCAGAAGGAAGTCTTAGGGATAAGATCGAGAAACTTGCTTCATCACTTAAATTCCCTTTGAAGAAGTTGTCGTTGTAGACGATTCCACAAGAATCAAGATCGAGCCATAGCAATGTAATTCTTATTTATAATGGGAGTTGACGATGATCTTTGTTTACCAATAATGTGATATTTGTTTCTTGTGTAGGCTTATATAATTGAAATGTAAGCTTTTTTATAATGGGAGTTGATGATGATTGAATTAGATTTATGATTATTTTATATGTAAGTTTGATGATGATTTTAGATGATAAAATTATTATTGTGGTTGTGGGAGTTGAAGATGATTAATTGATTATTTGATTATGCTTGTGGGAGTTGATGATGAATGATGATTATGATGATGCTTGTTAGAATTTGTTAGAATTGACTGATGCTTGTTAGAATTTGTTAGAATTGACTATTGAGTTTCAATTTCTCAATTTGTTTAATTGTTTCTGTAGGGCGAGACCTCCGGCTCCTCGAGGCGGACAAGGTGCCTCTATTGATGAGACGTCTCCTCGTGGTGGGACACTTCCGACTCCTCAAGGCCGTGGTGGTGCGGGTGCCATAACGCCTTCTGCTCAGACCCGGGGTCGTGGTGGGCGTTCAGGAAGTCGGCCTGTTCAAGCTGCTGAACCGTCGGCATCAACTGCATCGAATCCTGCCCTTGTTGATAGTGGAAATACACCTGCTAAGACTCGAACAGTAGACACGGCTGCTCCAGCTTCAGCTAAAGTTATAGGCGACAACCTCGACCTAGAGAAATGGTTGTAGACGGAGGGTAATGCTGATTGTTGGAAGGATTTTACGAAGGTGGTGGTGAATGAGTATCCGATGGGAGAGTGCAGGCATTGTCATACTCAAATCAAAGCTCATCCTTCCAAGAACGGGACTTCTGCAATGAATAACCATTGGACATCATGTTTGGCTAAGGTGGCAACATCGAAGAATCATACTGTTTTGAACTTGCAGACATCAGATGGTAGTCAAAGTCAAGTAAGTCTTTTATGGAAGTTTGATCAAGCAAAAGCTAGATATGCCTTAACCATGATGATAATTATGGATGAGTTATCATTTCGCTTTGTGGAGAGGAAAGGGTTTAAGCAGTTCATGCTAGTTGTTCACCCACTGTTTAAGATACCTAGTAGGAGAGCTATAAGAGATGATTTCTATCATATCTTCTTGGAGAAAAAGTGCATTTGATTGAGTTTTTTTTAATCAAAGAACAAAGGCAGAGTTTCAATCACCACATATACATGGATTTTTTATAACAACAAGAATTACATGTGTGTGACTGCTCACTTTGTTGGAATTGATTGGAAGTTGCAGAAGAAGATTATATCCTTTGTTCTCATCACAAGTCATACTGGAAATGATATTGTAGAGGAGCTTGCAAGAGTTCTTGAAGAATAGAAGGTGAAGAATATGTTCTGCATGACCATAGACAATGCAACTTCAAATGATATTCTCAGTGATTGCATGAGAATGAAGTTAAAGAATGGGGGTGTGAGTTGATGGATGGGAAGTATCTGCAGTTTCGATGTGTGGCACACATCATTAATCTGGTTGTGTAAGATGGACTGAAAGTGATTGGATGTGTTGTGGATAGAGTTCAGGACTGTTTGAAGTGTGTGATGTCATCACCAGCAGGTTGACAAGGTTCAAGACTGCAATGAAATTTCTGAATGTGGAGTCAACCAAATTAGTGTCTTTGGATGTACCGACCAGGTGGAACTCCACCTATATCATGTTAGAGTCAGCAGAACGATTTGATGGAATGTTTATGTTGATATGACTTGAATCGGACTATCAACCGCTACGACTGGTAATCGGGGGTCTCGCTGGGCCTGGTCTGTAACCGTTTCCTTTACCAGATTGGATTAGGTTTAGACCCACATGGAGAAGTACTATAAATACTTCTCATACTCCTCTGTAATCTGTAATCTCCTTTGATATAGTGAAACTGGCTCTCTCTCGCCCGTGGACGTAGCTAACACACATCGTGTTAGTTAACCACGTAAATCGTGTGTCGTGTTTTCGATTCTCGCTTTCGTATTCTTGCTTTGTCGATTCCTGCGATTTCCCGATCCGTAGCAGCGCGTTTATAACAGTTTACAACTTTGTATTCAAGTATACACGTTCATGACCTTTAGAGATTATGTTGACTCAAGAGGTGGTCTTCCAACTAAACAAGATGAGCATCTGATTAGGAATTTGATTAAGTATCTGAAAGTCTTCAATGACTTAACCCTCCTAGTCTCGGGTAGGTGGAATTTGATTTGATTGTTTTATTATGACCATTTGACCATTGTTATTTGTTTCACTCTAATTTTCTGTGTTCTCTTCTCATTGTACAGGAATTAAATATGTGACTACCCGTCTCTTCTTCATGAAGCTTGTTCCAGTTTATGACATCATTGAGGAATTGACGAATGATCCACATGAAGAAATCCAAAGGATGGCACAAAAGGTTGAGGAAAAGGTACAGAAGTATTGGTTTGAGACACCTGTTATGAATGAGGAGAACATGAAGGTGAATCACTTAATTTATATAGCATGTGTGTTTGATCCTAGAAGTAAACTTGATATGGTATCCGAGGTTTTGCAAATGATTTATGGGGGTATAAAGGCACATGAAATTGAGAGTTCCATTAAAAGGGAGATGCGCCAGATGTTTAAGGCTTATAAGGGGAAGTATGGATCAAAAGTACCATCCTCTGCATGCATCTGAGCCTACCACATATGAGAGCATTGTTGGTGGTAGTTCTGCAGAAGGTGTTGGTGATAGGATTAAGAAGCTTGAGTAGAAACTCAGGAAGAGGAAAAGGGAATCAGTTCTACAAGAAACACGAGATAGCTCTGCTGAGCTTGATATCTATTTGAAATGTCAAACTGATGGCATCAATGAGGAGAGTGATGATGTCAAGTTTGACATCTTGGGTTGGTGGTCTCGACACTCTGGAATATATTAGATTCTTGCTGAGATGGCTAAGGAAATCCTAGTTGTTCCCATCTCGTTTGTTGCCTCATTGGCAACATTCAGCTGTGGCGGCCGGATTCTCAGTCCATTCAGGTCCTCTTTGAGAGACACAATTGTGGAGACATTGATTTGTGTTGAGAATTGGATAAGATATCCAACTACCGGATCCAGAGAAATTGACGAGAAGGAAGATGATGAAGAGAATACGGATTTGGAAAGTGGTGAGTTCTAAAACTGTCTTATTGTTCAGGTTTAATTTTTACTATTTCTTTCTACCTAATTCAATGTATGAATGTCCTAACACTTTGTTTTTTTTTCTTACTCGGTTAATGCCACTTTCCAGTCTAGAATGGAAAGTGCAAGTGATACTGACAATGTTGCCAATTCAGATGCAAGTCTCAACATTCAAGTAGAGAATGAGTAGAAGGGTGAAGAAGAAGTGTCGGAGGAAGAGTATGAGAAAGATGGATATGACAATTTTGGTCATGACTTCTTAGGCCGATTGAAGCAACTGGGTTATGCAGATGTTGGTTTTTCTTTTGTTGTTGATAAGTGATGAATGATGATGATGTATTGTTGATTTGTTGTTGACTTGTTGCTATTTAGAGGATCTATTGTGATTTGTGAATTGTGGAGTTTATGAATTTATGTTGTTGAATTAATGAATTTGAAACAATAATTTGGTCATTTAGATGTATTTTTTATGCAAAAGGGATTGAAACTTTACTTTGGGTGATTTAGATGTAGAAATGTAGGTTTGAGGCTTCGATTTTAGGCAATTTTACTTTTTTTTTCTTGCATGTCAGACTGGTTCGATCAATTTTCGGTCGATTTCCTTGTCCAAACCGAACAGACGATCATCATGCAGGTTACAACGGCTAACCGAACCAAAGCCAAAAATTGATCGGTCGGTGGCCGGTTAGCCATGGCTTCCTCACGGTCGGTGGTCGGCGACAGTAGGGGGTGATTCGGTTTAACCAATAACCGTATTTTCAATTTTCGGTTAAACCAAAG